CTGATTGTAAATAGGCCTCATCCCTGGGGTCTCCTTATTACTTTCATTGAGCTGATAAAAAACCCAGCGTTTAAGTTCTGGAACCATGAGTTTGTTCACTGCGCTCCAGAAATTGAGAAGTGAGTATGACTTTAACCACAGGATCATTAAAATGGGTAGAGCTGAAGCAGTTGCACCTTGAGTTTTTGATGCTGTCACAGCAGAAAGGACCATTTGCTGCCACTACCACCACTTTGCTTCCTTGTGCAGGTTGTTCCAGTCGGTTGCACAGTGCTGCATGGGGCAGAAGCAGGCCCAGCAAGTCATGGAAGGGACTGGTGCCAGTTAGATGAGCTGCATCCTGCATTCTAAGCGTGCCAGCCTGGAGGTCCTGTCCCATCGACTGACTGAAGACTCTGTAAGGCTCCTCCTGACCTTCCCAGCCCCCTCGATTGGGTAGAACACGACAGACCCTGGGTGAAAGTCTTATGTGGGCATGTTCCAAAGTTTGAGACAAATTTTTTGACTTTTGGCCAAAATTCAGAAGATGCTGTGAATATCATTTTAAACTAGTGTAAATACAAGGAACAGAAACATTTTGTCTGGACTTTTGGGTTTGTGCAAATTGTGTAAAAGGCAGGTGGGCAACTGGTGCCTGTCCAGCTTGTAATAAAGGGGCAGCTGCTGATGCCAAGCACTTGTCTGGGGCAGACCTCCTTGTCCTGACATTCCCAGACTCCCAAAGAATATTGAAAAGCCAGTTATAATAAGTAACTTATTTTTCTTTATGTGGATGGGGGACCTTTCAATCACTAAGTTGTTAAAAAAAAGGTGGATGTGTTTGGAATATGGGAATTATATGGAGTATGGGAGGGGTGAGGGAGGGGTTAAGGTTCAGTGTTGCTTTCCCCTCACCCTCATCAGATGCTGATAGACAGCAAGTGGAGTGGCAGTCAGAGAATGCCTCCTTCCTGTTGGATAAAAAACAGGCCCTTCAGGTGAGGGTCAGCTGTTTTCAGTAAATAAACCAGAGACCAGGCCTATAGCTTCTTTATTTTTGTTCTTTTTTTTTTTTTCTTTTTTGACAGTTGTAAATTTTGAAAGATGAGGGGTTCAATCTAGACCTTTTCCCATCCCTACCCTGTGACCACACATACAAGTTTAAGTTTGTAAAAAAAAAAATAGAAAAAAAAAAAGAATAAAAACAAAAACCCAAAGGACCAATACAGCCCATTTTGTAAGGATTTTCAATGTTTTGTAAAGTATTGGTCCATGTGTTGTATTTTGTAGCCTTTCTAGTTCTTGGGCTTTAGTTCTCCCACTCTTGTATGTATGCATACTGTAGTTACACATTAAAAGTCATGACATGCAGCACGTGCCACTCTGCTTATTCTCTCCAGTTCCATCCTGGCTAGTTGGTGTCTTTGAAAGTCTGTTCCACCCATCCAAAACCTGCAATTTTCCAGTGTGTTTTGGGCACTGCCTCTTGAAAGCAACTGGGTTTGTTTCTCTAGTGTGAGGTCAGTGGGGAGATGGAATGTCTAGACAGGGCCTTGCTTTGAAGTGCAAAAGAAGGGAGAGTTATGTGGAAATAGAAATATCTTAGTTGCAGCTTCATGAGCAGTTTGTCTCAGACAGAAGACTGCAGTGGAAGGGTACAGAGTGTAGAGAGCCCATCAGCTTCATTTCTAGTGCCTTCCACCCTGCTGTGGTTCTCCCTGCAGCCCAAGGCTGTGGGAAGGGTAGGCAGCTCCAGTGTTGCTAATGCTGCAGAATCCCTTAGCCTGTGCCTTACAGCCTGGCAGATGCTGGGAAATAGGGCTCCACTGCTTTCTTTTTTCATAACATTACTAGTTTGTTAAACCTAGTTGGCTGCTGTGGTATGGGCAGAGAGGAGGTCAGGATTTTCTAATCATGTTTAAGGGGTTCTGTATTGGGCTTTGCATTTCCTGCATGGAGCAAAAACCAGCTCCAAGGGGCTGTGCCAATGTGCCAGTGGACAGCAGCTCACAGGGAATTCTCTACCTGTTTCTGTTCTGGGCAATCTTTTTTCAGTCACATGTATGTCAAGGACTAGACTGTGGGCAGGTCCTACAATTCCCTGGTGTTTCTATAGCAGCTCACCAGTTGTGCTGAAACTGAGCCTTTTGAAGTTGGAATTTTTTGGTTCTGCTGTTGCAACTTCAGCTTACTTCTCCTCCTGTGGGGTTAGGATACAATTACCAGCAACCAGTTTATCTGGTCCAGATGCCATGGGATTTTTTTTCCTTCTATTTGACTGTAGCAAAACCATCTGCAGAGCTTATTGCCTTGTCCTGATGGCTCAGATGTGTCTCTGGTTCTGTACTAATGCTGCTGTACAAGGCTGGTGTTGCAGAGACTGGAAGGTGGACAAGACTTAGCCAAGATCCCAGTAACACAAGATGGGCTGGTAGGATGGAGGCCACTGCACTCACATCCTCCCTTTGTTGCTGAATTTTAGGAACTCTCTGAACATGGACAAAGAGTCAGGTTTAGAAAGGAGACATCATTTATTCTGCACAGGGTGCAAGGTGGAAGTTTTTCCACAAATCAAGCACACCAAGGAATAAAAAAGTGAGAGAATTTAGGCACCAAAGTTTACATAACCCCACCTATCTAATACATAGTTACCTCCTACCTAATGCAGAGTCATTTAGCTTGTGCAACCCTTATGCAGTCCTTGTTACTGTGCCTGTGGGGACCTTTTCAGAGGTCTCTGGTGGTCGTCTGGGGAGCTGCCCCCGCCTCAGTTTCAAGCAAAGTTCAGCTCAGGCTGCACAGAACCCAAGGTTTAGTGCCAAAGGTGATCTGCAGCTCCATGTCTTCTAAACAACTGCCAGGCAGGGCATAAAATACCAAAGCTTTCCATAAGGATAAAGCAACACCCGTTTAACACACACCTGATAACATCTCTTTGTATTCAAAAGAGGGGTTAAAGGTGAGAATAATACCATCAGCTTCCATCTGCAACAGAGATCAAAGGAAGGGACAGAGAATTCTACTTAAAGATATAAAGAATTCTGCTTGAAGATATCAATTCCCTCCCTTGGAAGCTTTTGAAATATTTTATTAAACACTTGCACATTCTTTGGGCTACTATTGTTCCCAATTATATTTAAATCTTGGAGGTAGGTGTTTCATGATTCTCCACATTTGATATACAATCCCAGCACTGAAATAAAAAGCAGACAGGTTAAAGACAATTATGAGATGTACCATTTTATTAAAAATTCCTGGTGCTGTTTGAGCCCATCCAAATAAAATATTCCACCAATGGTGATTTCTATCTTTCTTCACTCTTTCCATTACCTGATGGATTTCTTTGCTGTCATGATAGACAGTAATCAAAGTCTTTCTACTACTCTGTTTAGCTTCTTTTGACAGCCTTTGCAAATTTTTATGTTGTAGCAATTTCTTTACTAGCATAAGGCTTATACCCACAGAGGTGAGTTGTATAGTTAATTAAGCTATAATTTGTTTTTAATAGTTGGAAGGAAGTTACTGGGGCTGAATAGTTAAAAATCACAGCCTCTGATTTGGGTAAGTTTACAAACACAAAAATTAGAGTGTGATTTAATTGATTATCCATTTCTGTGTATTCCCAAGGAATACTAAAGCATACACACCCTTTAGCTATGTATACAAATACTGGTTTTATATTATCTCTGGCCGAATTTCAAAGTTACAGATATGCTGTTCCATATCTAGGCAGGTATCTTGAGTTCAGTTGTACTTCCTTCACAGACAAACCCTTGTTCTTGTGCTACACAGGTGCTGACATTTGTCATCTGTTCCTTTCTCTGTTCTGTTGGATGCACTGTGGTTCCATTACTGATCATGCCTAGAGCAATAATAGGATGAATATCATAGTCTTTAGTTTTAAGTACAGTCAATATTAAATAGTATTTGTTATTTCCCTACCTCCTTAATTACGTGTGGGTTGGTTTCCCAGGCTTGAGGGGGTTTGGGAGGTGTTAAAGGTTTTCTTTTTACCTTTACTTGTATCCAACGGCCTTCTGCTACTACCTCATCTCCTATGGCTCAGCAGTGATATTTACCTTCCTCCTCCTCCTTATGCATCAAAGGAAATTCTACAGAGTATATATTGTTAGATTCCCATCTAGTTGCAACAGTAATAATTTCAATTCTCTTTCATCCTCATTAAACCATTGTACAATTGATTTCTTACAGTATTTGACTGGACAAGAAAGAACAAAAGGATTATCTATGTGAGTTTCCTATTCAGAAGGATTAAGGCAATTCAGGAAAACATGTCACAGTAAGGGGCTTAATCAATGTAAAATTATACCAACATTATACCAAGTTTGACATCTGACACTGTCTCAACAGTCCTGGTTTGTGCAGCTGTGTTTGTGTAAAACAATTACTGCAATTAGAAATGCTCCTACCCCTTGAGGGCATTCAAGTTCTGTGTAAGACAGGCTCTCTTCCCAGGTACAGTTCATTAAGTTACTTCTTAATTTTTTTAGTCCCAAAGATCCAGAGGGTGTGGCTTCTCACTTATCTAGTCCTGTAGTTTTCTTCCCTCATAAATGGTGGTTCCAGAGCTCTAGTCCCTGAAGTTTCATAGCCATGTCCTGGGAGGGGAACCTGCTACAGTCCTTTCCAGTGTTCCTGTAGTGTCCCATCATTCCACAGTCTCACACAGACCCAGTCTCCCGCCTGGAATTTGTGAACACGAAGGTCCAATCTAATCGGATTTCTGTGTTGAAGGGTTTAGTGTTGTCAGCAGCTCCAGCTGCCAGATGTTTACTCTGAGCTGCCAGTTGGATTTCTGCCCTCTTAATCTGGACAAGGAGCTGCTCTTGCCTTAAATTTCTGATGCTGAATTAGGGAAGCCACTTGCTGTTCTGACAGTGTATGCCTGCCTTCCTAAAACAGCCATTGGGAGGTCTGGGGTTTCTTAAGGCCTCTGGAAGAAGGTGATATTTGTGCTCCAGAGCTCTCACTGTACAATAATGCCACCCAAAATCCCTTCAGTGCTGTCAAGATACTTCTTTATGTAGAGGTAGCTCAAAAGCCACATGCCATATAAGGGACAAGTGGGCCTTTAGTCAATCTTGCCATCTGTCCTCCCTGCTGCAGGACTGATGTCCAGAGGCTGCCCTTCCCCTTGGATCAGTCCTGGGCAGGTCCTGTCCAGGTTTCTATCGTACCAGCTCCAGCAGCTGATGCAAGATCCTTTTCTGTCCGTAGCGCACGTGCAGAGCCTGCTGCTCCCTTCGACTCAGTTTCTCATAAGCCTCCTTGTTATTTAGCAAGTCCTGCTCTGCTTTCAGGTCTGACCTGTAGGACTCCAGGGTCAGCAGCACACTGTCATAAAGGAGCTTCTTGCAAGGGGTTTTTAGTCTGGAGAGAGCCTCGTTGGAAAGGGTAGAGTTTTCCTCTTCCTCACTGTCATCTTCCCAGCCATCTTGTTCCTTATACTCCTTGAATTCTTCTTCTGACATGCACAGCACCTGTAATGACCCAGGCAAAGGGACAAGTCACTGGCAGTGTGAGCACATCAGGCTTTTTCCTCTGTGAAAGAGAAGAGCCATGTGGAGCACGCAAGTTATTCCTCAGCCACACTAAAGGTTAACAAACTGAAACTGGCTTAGATCCCTAATTGCAGGCAACTTCTGTGTTAGAAGAATGTTCAAATAGAAAACCTGGACATCTCAGCTGTCACCTACGAAGTTTTGAAAGCTCCCTAGAACAGCAGTGGCCATGGAGCGAGCTGTTCAAAACAGGTACGAGTACAGACGGGTGGCTAGTTGAGGAGAGGAAGATGTTTTAACAGCACCTGGGAGCTGGACAGCCACAGCCCATGCAGGAGTGTTGGTACCAACCTGCCTTCCCGTGCTTGTCCCCTCCCCTGAGCCCTTCTGCACTGCTGGTTAGCCCAGCTGCACTCCGTGCTCTCCTTGCGTAGCTCTCTCCCCCCTCCCTGGCTGTGCTCACCTTCAGGGTCACAGACAGCTCTTCCTCTGTCAGCACCTCATCCCAGCCAAGCACAAAGGCACCTTCCTCGCCCACCATCTCCAGCTGGCACAAGAAGTCCCACTGCTCTGAGACCAGCTGCTGCTGCGCTTCGCTCCTGGCACCTGTTTGAAGACAGCAGAGCTGCAACCCCACCGGGGCGGGGGGCGAGCGAAGAAGGGCAAACAGGAGGCACAAAACAAGGCGTGGCCCCAGCACCTGAAATGCTGTGGATCAGGCATTATTTTTCGTGTCGCACTCGATCCCTGCTCCGTTACATCCCTGTGTACCCGGATCCCTGCCCCGTGCCCTCCCGGGGTGCCCACGGGTGGCACTCACGCCGCAGCGCCGCTGCGCGCACCGTCACCATCTGGATGTCGGCGGTGTCGTGGGTGTTGCCGGGGTAGGGCTCGGCGAAGCCGTACATGTGCAGCAGCTGCCAGTTGGCCATCTGCCCGTAGGTGTTGAAGATCTCCTGGCCCTTCCCCACGGGCTGTGTTGTCACCATTTTTAAGCAGTGCTGCGGGCAGGGAGAAGGAGCTCAGGGCTGTGCTGCTCCGACAGGGAAACGCGGGGTTTGAGAGCGGCTCAGATGACCCCCAGCTCTCACTGACCAATTCCAGCAGGGCTTCATATTAACAAGATCCAGGCCAGACTCGCTGCCCAGGGATGTGTCTCCATTCCCAAAGGCCTCATGAAAGGGGAGCCAGGCTGTGACAATGCCTGGCACAGCAGCTTTGCACTCACAGGAGAGTACTCCAGGTTGGCGTTGTGGTTGGCCACGTGATTCAAAATATCTGCTACAGGCACCATCATGGGAGGATTGGGCCCCTTCTCATCTTCATCTTCCTCCTCCAAAGGTTCCTGAAAGCTAGAAAGAAGGGAGATGAAGACAAGCCTGTGGTTCACAGGGCAGCACACAGCAAGCCTCATCTTATACTTACATTCTCATGCAACCACAACCTTTAAGTATCAGCCTCAAATCTTTCCTATGATCCTGCTCCTTGTCCTTACTCCCTGTCAGAGCAGAGCCCTCACTTCTCACCTGTAGGCCATGACAAATGCCACCAGCTCCTTATACAATTCCAGAGTGTGCAGCTTGGGGTCAAAGACATCAGGATGGGACTCCATGAAAGGGAGGATGATGGAGCTGTACTCCAGGTGGATGTTAGCTAGATCCTTGTCCACAGCTTCTGGAATGCCTGTGCCCTGCAGGAGCCTTGTTCGCTCTTCTTCAGGCCTGTTGCAAGAAAAACAGAGGTTGTGCCTCAAGGAGAAGAGTCTACAGACTGCTTCCTCCTTCAAAATCTCAGCTTCCCCCTGCTCTGCAGATCCCTGTTCTCTGGCTGTGCCTGTAGCATAACTCCAAGAGAGTCCCTCAGGCTCCTGCCAGTGCCAGCACAGGGCTGGAACAGAGGGCTGGGGTTGCCCAGTAGGACCAGATCCATGCCCAGGACCCTGCTCAGCAGCACCTGGGCTGTGCCAGCTGCCAGCCTGGGCCTCCCCACAGCCCTGCCTGGTTTCACCTTACCAGAACATGGGGTGATCCAGGCTCCGGAAATCCTGCCAGAGGGAGAAATACGGCTGCCACTGGGAGCTGCTGGCTGTGTACTCGTGCAGCAGGGCCAGCAGGAGAGGGACCCACCCGGACTGGCTCTGCAGGGACTCCTGGGCTGAAGAACCAGACACGGTGGAGAAAATGTAAGTTGATCTTGAGGTGTTTTTTTCCTCAAAGAACCAAAGCCTGACACCACAAGCCTCAGTCCCACCTTTACCCTGGAGGCAGGAGTTCTGCTTGTACTCTGCTTTGTCTTAGTCTGTCCTGAGCTGAACCACAAGCTGCTGCTCTGCAGCTCTCCCAGATCCTACTGCCCTGCCATCCTCAGCCTGAGCCTGTGGGTGCCTTTAGAAACCAAGGAACTGTTCTTTTCCCTACAGGGGCCTGTCCTGGGCCTCCAGGGAAATGTAAGTGACATGAGCCTGTCAATTGGAAGTTGGAGATATTGGACTACTGGGCTTTCCTCCCTGCCCAGCAGAGCTCCAGGCTCCTTTAGGGAACCCCCTTTCCTTGCTGGTATCTAACAACCCTCCAGCAGGAACGTCCCCCAAGGCTTTATCCCAGACCCATTAATTCCTTTAAAAAGCAAAGCAAACTCGAGTGCCACGAGAAGCTTGCGCTCACCTTCCTGCAGGAGGGTGTGGATGGAGGTGGTGTGCTGGGACAGCAGCGCCGTGCGAGGGATGGTGAACAGGACCTCTCCCGCCTCCAGCTCCTCGGCGGCCAACAGGCCGTACCCCGCCACCGTGCCCTCCCTGCTCAGGCGCACCTGGGCCGGGAGGGGAGCGGTGACGGGCGGGCCGGAGACACCGGAGCGGCCCGGGGGAGGCCCGGTCCGGCCCGCACTGCCTCACCTTGGGGCTGAGCTCCACCCCGGCCCGCCCGCACCACGCCAGGAACGCGGAGAGGGGGTCGGCGCTGCCCTTCCCTCCGGAACCGCTCCCGGCCGCCGCCTGCGGATGGAAACACGGCGTGAAGGGGAAGGAGCCGCAGGGCCGATCGCGGAGCCCCGGTAAGGGCCGGGGTCTCCCCCGGTGCCCCCCGTACCTTGAACCTCTTGGGCGCCGACGCCATGACGGAGCCCACACGTGGTTCCGCACCACGTGGTGCCGCCGGGCCCTTCCGAGTGGGCGGGGAGGCTCCGCCCCCTCCCCGCGGGGCTGACGGTGGCCGCGGAGGGACAGAAAGGGGGGGGGGCGGCCGCGGAAACGCGCCCGGCAAACTGAGGGGTTCGGGCGTTTCTCTGCGGGCTCTGGGGTGGTCGTAGAACCTCCTGTGGGGTCATGGGACCTCTGAGCACCCCCCTGAAGGGTCTGGGGTCCTTGTGGTGCCTCTCGGTGGGATCCAGGGACCACCACTTGTCTGTCTGCGGTGTCTGGGGACGCTGTGGGGTCTCTCTGAGGGGCTCCTCAGGTCTCTCCCTGCATTTTGCTGCCTCCATCCCACCCCGGGGGCTGCACTGCTGGGCTCACACCTCCAGGCGTGGGTTAAAAACAGCGGGCTCTAATTAATCAGGATAATTAAGCTCGTGCTCTTTTTCTGTCAAGACCATCCCCCTCCACCCTGCGTGGGGCTCTGATCTCCCTCCAGGGCAGTCCCGCGGCTCATTAGTCCCGTCCCCAGTCCCGCCGGAAGGGGGGCCGGTGCCATCGCTGGCGGCTCTAATTAAGCCAATTAGTGCGCACGAGGTGTTTGAAGAGGCCCCACGGGGCTCTCCGCGGGCTGTCCCTGGTGCTCCCCCACCCCACCAGCCTTTGGGATCGGCTTTAATCACCTCCAGCCCCTCCCGGGCTGGACTGGCAGGGTGGGTTCCCTGAGGGGCAGAGGGGTCCCATCCTGCACCACGGGCAGGAAGGGCAAGAGAATATGTGGGGCGGCCTTTGAGTGCCCACCCGAGCTCTCGGTTCCTCCGAGGGCTCCGTGTCTCTGTAACCCAACTCCTCGCAGCCGCCTCCCTCCCGCCTTACCCCGCTCCTGTAAAAGCGCTGCTGGCGCTCGGACCCGAACCGAGATTGCTGCAGCCCCAGAGCACGGACCCCAAACCCCTGTGCGATCGCAGCCCCGAGCGGGGACCCCAAACCCCTGTGCGATCGCAGCCCCAGAGCACGGACCCCAAACCCCTGTGCGATCGCAGCCCCAGAGCACGGACCCCAAACCCCTGTGCGATCCCAGCCCCGAGCGGGGACCCCAAACCCCTGTGCGATCCCAGCCCCGAGCGGGGACCCCAAACCCCTGTGCGATCCCAGCCCCGAGCGGGGACCCCAAACCCCTGTGCGATCCCAGCCCCGAGCGGGGACCCCAAACCCCTGTGC